CCGTCTCCCACGCACGCGCCCACGCATGTCCGCGCACTCCAGCCGGGCCGCTGTGGACAAGCGCTGGGCCGTGGCCGGGCGCCTTGGGTCGTTAGAGACCTTTGACCCGATGGGACACCTGGGGGTTTGCGGGCTTTCACTTCGTCACAAGGGGCGGCCCCCTGCACCGGCAGGACTCAGCGGGTGCTCTGCAGAAGGCAGGTGCCACCGTCACCTGACACGCAGATGCCAACGCTCCCCCTCCTTCGTGCACGGCAGACCCCCCCAACTCAAGCCCGCCCCTGCAGGTCCCACATGCCCCCTGTGGACATGCTGGCCACCAGCCCTCCACGTCAGAAACGAAAGCCATGTGTCCACCCGGTGAGCCAGACCGCAAGCTCACGTCCCCGAGCCCCGCCGGGCCGGCCGCCCAGCCTTACCCGTGTCTCTGGTGGCTCTTTGAGGGGTGGGCGACTTGGGGTCCGTCTCTCTTCTGCAAGAACTGTTTTTAGTGCTTTTGTTTTTTTCCCGTGGAACTGTGGGAGACGGGAGGGGAGGGAGAGCGGCAAGGTGAGCGGGGACCCTACACACAGGGGCTCCCCGGCCGGGGCCTCTGGAGCAGCAGGCCAGTCCTGCCTGCGGTCTGGTCCTGCACACCTGTCCGGGCACCGAGTGAGGGGCCCAGGGGGCACACATGGCCGTTAGTCCCCTCCAGGCATTCTGGGTGGGGCCACCCCTGGGGACGCCCACTGCAGGGCACCTCTCCCTCACATGCACCCTGACTCCGCTCAAATGTCTGGTGGCCAAAAGCCCCCGAGGACAGGAACAGCCTCCCATTCCCGACTCCCACATCAGCTCCGGCTGGGCCACCGCACTTATGTTTGTTGCATGAATAAATAAATGACGGCATGGGCCAGCACGCAAACTGTTGGCGTGGCGGCCGGCCACACGGAACAGCGGGTCAACAAGGGGAGGAGGAGTGAGAGCTGGGGTCCCCGGGCCTTCGCATAGCCGAGCCCTGCCCTGGCTGGATGGGGAGGGGGGGTCGTGTGGACCCAGAGAGGGCGGAGACTGTCAAAGTCTCACATGTAGCAGCTACAACTTAAAAAAAAGACCTTGCCGACGCCCTGCTTCCAGAGAGTGGGGTGGGCGTGGGGAGAACGACCAGGGGGACAAGCTGAGGCCATCGGGGTCCCTGCGGATGGAGGGGAAAGGCAGGTTTGCCACGAGCCACAGCCGGAATGGGAACGGGGCGGGAGCCCCCTGCTTCTGTGGGGAGCTGCTGGTGCCCACGGTTAGGCTGGAGCTGGGCTCGAGGAGAGAGTTCTGACCCTCATCTCCAATCAGGCCAGCCCCTCAGACTCGCCTGGGCCACATGTGGCTCACACATCTAGTTGGGGCAAGCCACCCAGTGGGGTCCCGACTCCAGCGCTGACCAACCTTTGCCCGCCCTGGCCACCCCGGCTCCCAGCAGCAGCTCCTGTCTGCCTCTCCATCCTCACCCCTCCCACCTGGCGAGTGAATGTGTGGGCCAAGCCCTGGTGCCTCCCTTGGCCCCTGGGCCCCTGCCATCTGGAAGCCTGGGGCCCCATGGCCAACCGGTCAGCCCCTCCTGAGGAAAGCCAGGCTGCGGCATGGTGGGGCCACCTGTGGGACGGGTGAACAGTGCCTCCTGCCTGCAAGATGGAACACCAAGCCCACACAGAGGTCTTCTATGGCTGGCAGGTGACCATGCAGGAGGGACCTGACCTTCTCTGTGCAGGAGACCTCGGTGAGCAGACGCCTGCCCAGCGCCTGCCCCGCACCTGCCCCGTGAGCCCCAGCCTACCCCGCAGGGCCCGCCTGGGCTCCTTCCCTGCTGGGAAGCAGAGGGTTAGGAATCCAGCTCCAGAGAACGGCACCTAGGTCCGAATCTTTGCTCTGCCCCTTCTCGTCTGGGGTCCTCTGTGACCCTCAGTGTCCTCGTCTGCGAGTGGGGACCGCAACAGAAGCAGGCGCACAGAGAGACGCTGCGTGCAGAGTGGCCTGAGGACCCGGCCGGGGGTGCCAGGGTGGTTGGCCACAGAGCCCCTCACCTGAGGCCTGGCACAGGGAGACCGGGGAGGGCTCACGCCCATGTCCGGGAAGGACCTTGTCTTCGACTCCGCGCTCAGCTGCACTCAGGACTCTGGAGCCTGGAGCAGAGAGCAGAGGGCAGAGGAGGGTGTACGGTGAGGAGAGATTCTACAGCACTGCTAGAAAAAGGTCCCTGTTAGGCAGCCTCTCGAAAGCCTTTCAGCATGGCGCCTTTGAGGCCCCGGGCCAAGCGCACCCACAGGGCCACCCAGACGTGCGAGGTGCTGAGCTGGAGGCCAGTGGCAGCGTGCCTGTCAGCCAGACGGGCACCGCCGTGTCCCCTGCTGGGCAGGGCTCCGTGTGCCTTGACCCGGGAACCATGCGGTTTGGGCCACGTAGCATGGTAAAGGGCTGTCAGGGTACACGTGCAAAGTCCCACTTTTGCAAAGAGAAGAATGACTTAGAGGGACACTCGCAAATGTTAACCAGGGCAGTGGGGGGTGGGGGCGGGGGCACACCGGGAACATGGACCATTTTCATCTCCATGCGTTGCAGATGCACTAGAATAAACAGGCAGTGGTCCTGCCTTTAAGAAAAAAGTCACAGAAGGACAAATCATATAAGATCCCACTCACGGGAGGTCCCCAGAGGGATCAGACCCACAGACCCACAGAGACAGGAAGTAGGCGGTGGGGCCGGGGCTGGGGGAAGGGCCAGGAGTGAGAATTTAATGGGGACAGAGTTCCCATTGGGAAGATGAAGTCTTGGAGGTGACGGTGGTGACGGCCACAGACACTGTGACTGTGCCTGATGCCACCGAGCTGTGCACTCACCCTGGTGAAGATGGTCAATTTTGTGTTATGTGTATTTTATAATATTTTGAAAAGATATCTTTAAAATACTAATTTTTTTTTAAAAGAAGGAAACATCTCTCCTGTCTCCTAGAGGAAGCTTGCCCCCACACGGCGAGAACCACAGGGCTGCACCCCTGCGCTGGTCCAATGGGAGGCCGTGCTTGGAGATGTCCTTAAATTCCCGCCCCCCACCCCGCCCATGTGCCTTGTTTCTGAGGCTCTTCGAAATCTCCCACGGGCTCTTCAAGGTGTTCCTGACCAGAGTCCCCACACACCTGACCATGACACGAC